ACGCACACACGCACACACAGACACGTGTCAGACACACTGACAGACACGTGTAAACTGACACACATCATACATTCAGTGTCTCTCTATGGTGGGAAATTCAGTTTCACACCCTGATCCCTTCACACTCTAACCCAACTATCTCATCTTTTACTATCTTTATCTTTTTAAAACACGCCCACACATACACACACTTCTGCCTGGGTTAAGTCACATCTCTCGCCCACACTGTCATTTGTAATTCATTATATATAAATACTTTTCACAAGCTTTTAAATCATATGGATACTTCACTCATTTTATTTTGTCACTCAGAATTCTGCTGCACTAAAAGCACTAATAACTGTTATGTATACTTCTTCCTCGTGCTTTTGATTTGAGTATTTCTATGTAACTTTTGCAAAGTTTTCCACAAGGTTTTCTTTTAATTTTCTGTTTCAACCTCCTCTCCACACCTATGTTTTTCCACACCCCCAAACCATCTTTTTAAAGTGCTTTGTTAATGTTTATGTGAAAAAAAGAGCTTTTTTAAAACAAAAGGTCTTCTCCGACATGGCCGGAGAGATGGGTTTGTGAGCATAAAATAGCATTTTGATGGATATGTTTAAATTCATGAAGGTAATGTTATTGACACAAAAACTTTTCCTCTTCATATTGATTATGGAAACTGGTCAGTAGTTGTGTGTGACTTAAGAGCAAAAACAGCAAAAGCTGGAACTTATCTGTATTCACATTCTAGTATTTACAATCAAAGACAGTTGAGGTCATATGTAAGACCTATTTCTTATCCCTTTTTTGCTCCGTTGTTTTCTATTTTCCTGTAACTCTATGTATCTGATGTCAAAATGATATAGGCCCATATGCTGCAGTCACTTTGACAGAGCTAGATCTACAATGCTTTAAAAAGCATGCTTGAAAAATGTTAGTATGCTTGTATTCCAGCCAACATGCAGCAAAACATTTCCAGGAGTTGAATAAAACATGAGTTATGGTTTGTGTTTATCTCATCTAACGGGTGATTTGTCCCACTCGGAGGTTATTTAGTGCCCGCCTGGCAAAGAAAGTTGAACACACCGCACGGTTCAGCCTGAGGGGCTGCGGAGATGGAGTGTGACGCAAGGGTTGCCATGTTCAAATCCCTTGGTACAAACCTCAGTGACTCATTACCATACAGATTTTTATCTTTTGAGTGAAGTGCCTGCTAGAAGAAAGTGGCAAAGGAATCAGGAATGATCCTGCATGAGGCCATAATATGATACATTATATCTTCAGATTGATATTGTCTGTGAATAAGTTCTTTATGAGTATTTGTAAACGCGCATGCATGCCTTGAGAAATGAATAAAGAGATTTGAATATAATTTAATTGAATTCTGTTGCAGCACTTTCCTTATGGCTTTAGATAGACAAAGATAATGATATGTATTAGTCAATTATTATTACTTGACTTTAAAATTATTTTTGGAGAACAGCCTTATAAAGTAACAGGGCAAAATACATTTTATAACTTCTTTTTAATTCTTATACAGTTTAGATTATATCAAAGTTCCTCCAAAAAGAGTTAAGTAAAATTGAATATGCTTGGAAACTTCAATGGTTGAGTGCTTTTACAATTTTAAACCACCAGAGGACAGTGTTGTACTACAGATCTATCTATCTATCTAAATCCTATTATCTATCTTTATCTATCTATCTATCTATCTATCTATTCTGTCTATCTGTCTATCTATCTACTGCTTTGTCTGTCTGTCTGTCTGTCTGGTTAAATGACTGTAAGAACAGGCTTTGACAGTAATAAAACCAAGGTGTTTGTGTGTATGATTAGAGACTTACTTGACTCATATATCTGCCGATGAACAAACAGACTCGACCATATAGTGCCCCTCTGACCACTTTTGATCATAACTGTGTATTGCTGTGTGTGTGTGTGTGTGTGTTCTGCGTCTGGGTGAGATGACTAATTTCTTCAGCTCACAGTGGGGAACCTTGTTTTAGTCGAATTTGCTCCATTCAAAACGATATTGATCCTGTGTGTATGAGTTTGTGTGTTCACTCCTAATGAAGGTGCTTTAAGGACGTACTGGTAAAGATGTGAGGAGGAGGATACAACAAAAGCTAGTGTGTTTAAATCATTCTCTCTCTTTGTTTTTCTGTTTTTTTTCTTTGTCTAGACGTTCATTTTCACAGACACGGAGGATGAGGACTTAAGTTCAGAAGGTAAGCTCTCTCTCCATCTTCCTTCCTAGGTTTTGTCTCACATGCAAATAAACCCATTTTACACACTGATTGTAATGAGCCTATTCATTATTTGGTTAAAAAACGTACTTCACAAAAGTACATACGCTGTTTCTCACTCGTTCTCTCCACAGGTCTTAACATGGTGGTAACAGGTTGTCAGTCAGATCACAGCCAGCAGGCTTTGTCCTGCAAGATGTCTGCGGAGTATGACGGCTTCATGGCGTCAGACAAGAGGTGAGACAGATTAAAGCCCGTCTGTCGTCTTTCACGCACTGGATTTAAAGATCGGATTTAGATTACCAACTTTAATGATCACCTTTGGGAAATGCATGTTACAGCAGCAGGTAGTGAAAGGAGAAATCAAAGTAAATAATCTTCTACGGTTGCAAAAGCATAAGCACAGGTTATTACTGTCAGAATTATTACAGGGGATACCCTTTGAACTTTTCATCATCTTTCTTGGTGGACACTAATTGCACTAATTGAATTTTGAGGTCACCGGTCAATCAAATAGTGTGGGAAACAGGAAAAGTTCTGTTCATTTCTATTCAGCCATTGCATCATCTATGACGGCTCATCACTCATTAACTACAAACAAATGTTCCCTATGTTATAAATATTAAAGTGCATCTGTCCCTGTGTGATAAGGGATAAAGATATTTTGAAGGGAAGAGCATAATGTACAATTATTGGCTTTATTTGGTAATAGCTTAAACCATTTCCATAGCAATCATTCAAACATGAAAGCAGCCACGTCATACATTAGATAACACAGTGTGTGTGATTTACTTTACCAACGACCCAGCCTGAGGCTGCATTACTGTATACTGGACAATGTGTTGCTGATATTCTGTCATATTTTTGATTTTTGGAAAATGCAATGAGGCTCAACAGTTTATGTTTGGTGTGTGACTAACACTTCGACTGCTGTCATGTTATTGAGATGGCAGAGAAAATGACAGAGCATTTCAGTTGGGTTCCAGGGCCCATTTTGGTATTTGGACTGAAGAGGGAAGTGAGGCTGTTTGGTTTGGATGGAAGCCTTTTGTGTTGTTGGGCAGCCATTAGGATGGCAGAGGAAACAAGACAGCACTTCAGTTTGGTACCAGCAGCTTTGTAATTTGGACTTGAATGTTGCAATAAGAGTCTGTTAGTTTTGGAAAGAGGCTTTGACATCCTGTCCTGTCATTAAGGTGGCAAATAAAATCAAACAACTTGATCCTCTCCAGAGGAATACAGTGAAATTCATGCTATGAAAACAAAAGGAAAGCTGGTCAGAAGACAGTAGTGCAGTTTTTCCTGTATTTTTTAAATTTTGAGATGAATTCGTTAAAAGTCTATTTTGAAAAAAAAGGCTTGTTTTTGGGACTAATAACAGTATATGTGATAAAATATTCTCTAAAGGTTCACTTACAAGCTTTTTTCAGAACTTTCTTTGTATCCCTATGGGGCTTTTTTTCAGTTTTTTTTTTTCATCTTCAGTCAAGAGCATTGATTTCCCTTTCTGATTTTGTAATGTTTTCCCTACAAACCCTGCCCTTGCACTCAAGTGCTTGCACTTAGACTCTCTCTACTTCTGCTCAAATTGTATGCTTGCACTCACAAATATGGTCGCTTGCTCAGATTTCCCACACTGCAGCTTCGTCCCTTATCCTTGCACTCAGGCTGCTTCTGTGCGCCAGTGAAACGTCTGCTCTCAGATCGCTCCTGAAATCAATGAATCGTGCTCTAAAATTGAGAAACCACGCTCTGGAATAAAAAGATAGGAAAAAAGCCCCATGGATATAATGGGCTGGATAATATAATAAATAAATTGGAATCATTTTAATTTTTGTTTTTGTAGGATGTGTAAATGTCTACATCATGAAACTTTAAACATGCACTGTCTAAAAGTAACGCAGATGAAAGTTGGCTACATTAGGTATCAGGAATCACTGCAGTCCCATACACTGTGACTGTGTGAGCTGCTGTTACTCCAGGTGTCTTTTGTCTCCTTAGTACATCCATGCTTCCAATTAATGAATTTAACAGTTGCATTTAGGAGGCGTATAGACTCAAATAAGATTTGCTGAGTTTTCAGTTTGTGTTTGTTGGTTATGATAGCTGAAGGGACAAGGATTGACAGAGCAGAGTGTGGATTCTACTTCTACTACTACTTCAGTCTGTCCCTACCTGTTAATGCTAGTCTGCAGATATCAGACGACGTCTCTTCAGAAAACATTAACAGCAGGAGAGTAATTGGTGTGCAGACTTTTCTGCTCCATCTCTGCTGAAATTGATAATGAAAGTGGATGTCTGTTCTCTTAGAGGAAGCATCTGGTTCTGACAGTCCAAAGCTATGTTGGATAACCTGTGCTGTTAATGTGCATGAATGAAGACAGCCTTGCAGGAGGTGCAGGTTTTTTATTGTTAATGCTCAACTGTTTTTGCACATGAGGTCCTAAAAAATGATGTAGGAAAAGAAAAAGAAAAAAATTGTGAAGCTGCCCCAAGCTTGAAAAAAACCCCAACATGTTTTTTTTGGCCATATATCGCATAACATAAACTTAAATTTAGAATTTCTGATCACAAATAAAGGCAACATTGTTTTTGTGGTGGGAGACTTTAATTTCTTCTTGTCAGCATAAGATAATTCTGTGTAACAAAATGGATGCAGTGATAGAAGAACACCCAACTCCCTCTCAAAAGCTAAAATGATGAACCAGAAACTTTTGACTTGAAAAACAAAAAAAAATGTTAATGTTGATGTGATGCATTATCTAGTGCAGTTCAGGCAATTTCCAAGTCTTAGTGAGTTTAGTTGGATTTATTTTGTGCAAGAATGAAAACAACAAGGAGGAAAATTACCGTTGAAATCTCTGTTCCGCCCGGCTGCAGACATCAGCAGGAGGAATGGAGAGGAGCAGAGAAACCCAGAGCATTAAAATCCAACTGCATCTTAAGTCTGTTCTTCCCTCTGTGGCTCCTCAGGTGGTTTTGTCATGTGGATGATGATAACTACGTGAACCCGGACGCCCTCCTCTCCCTGCTCTCGGCCTTCCCCCAGGACAGCGACATTTACGTGGGCAAACCGAGCCTGAACAAGCCCATCACTGCTCACGAACTGCTGGAGGGAAATGCAACGGTACTATTACCCAGAGTTTGTTAAAGTTAAAGGTCCAGTGTGTAACATTTAGGAGGATCTATTGCCAGGATAGGTATGTTTTCATTAGTGTATAACCACCTGAAAATAAGAATCATGTCTTTGTTACCCTAGAATGAGCTGGTATATCTACAAAGGGAGCAGGTCCTCTTCCATGGAGGACGCCATGTTAAACTGCCATGTTTTTATGTTCGCCCAGAACAGACAAGCCAAACACTGGCTAGGAGCTGATAGGAGCTTTTTTGTGAGTTTCGCAACCACTGCAGTTTCTTCTACACACTTGGAAGGCGAGCGATATTCAATTGGTTGCAATCTGCAACTTCACTGCTAGATGCCACTAAATTACTTGCTGGTCCTTTAACCCTTTAGGCGCCAGGT